TACATTCCAACTACTCTGAATCCTGCAGATCACGGTACTCGAGGGCTTGAACCCAGGAAAATTAATAAGAAATGGCTTACACCTCCAGCCTTCTTGAAACAACCTAAGTATCTTTGGCACGATAATACTTTGCTTGCAACAACTGTGGTTGCTGCGGGTTTTCAAAAACAGACCAAGCATAAAAAATTGTCTCTAAATGAGACAATTTTCGACATAAGTTAATTTTCTACCTAGATCAAGCTGATTTTAACTCTTAACACAGTCATGAGTTTCATTTCCAAACTACAAATTAGGATTCTCAAAATAAAAACCAATCAAAACCCATCCTCCAGTGATGAAAATGAACGAATTTTATGCAACACCTCGGATGTTGAAAAAGCCAAGCTATACGCAATCAAAAGTTGTCAGGCTCAGTCGTTTCCTAATACTATCAAAAAATTAGAAAACAAGAGCAAAATTGACAATAAAGACAAATTGGTTTAATTGAATCCCTTTTTGGATCAAAAGAGTGTTCTAAGAGCTCGAGATTGTCTTGAGTTTGCATCTTGTATGAAAGAAGATGCAAGGTTTCCGATAATTTTGGATGCGAATAATGCAATAACAAAATTGTACATTGAACACGCACACCATATTTGTGTACATCAAGGATCAGAGTTTGTCAAATCCTTCATACAGCAACGCTACTACTTTATTGGTGTACGACTGGCTCTACGCAGTGTACCTTTTAAATGTTTCATATGCAGACGGTTCGATGCACAAAACCTCTAGCCAAAAATGATACCCCTACCAAGCTCAAGATTTCCACAGGAGAACACTCACTACCCTTTCATCAGCACAGGAGTAAATTTCTTTGGACCATTCTTCATTCAAAACAGAAAGAAAACAGAGAAACACTACGCTATCATCTTCAACTGCCTGACAACTAGAGCAGCCCATTTGGAGTCTTGCCCAGATTTGAAAACTGATACATTTCTTAATGCACTTGCCCGGTTTACAGCCAGAAGAGGGAGCTCTAAAACAATTTACAGTGACAAAGGAAAAACTTTTGTAGGAGCTGGTAATGAGCTAAAGAAATGCCTCAAAGAACTAGATAAGAACAAAATTGAAACCAAGCTAGCAGTCAACGAAATTGAATGAAAATTCAACTCGCCTTATAGTCCTCCTTTTGGCGGGGCCTGGGAGCGATTAATCCAATACGCTTAACGCACAATTCTGATTAATCTTGGATCTAAGAAGCTTACGCTTGATCTTTTCAATACCATTCTCACGGAAACAGAAACAATGTTAAATTCAAGACCTCTAACAAACGTTGCCGATAACACAGACAATGGGAGCCGCTCACCCTTAATCGTTTTTTAATTCAACGTCCTTTCAGCAACCTACCACCCGGAACTTTTGACGATCGAATACCACTCCGTTTTGCAAATTGGTCTCAACAACAACAATTACTCAACCACATCTGGCGAAAACTACTAAAGGAATATTTACCGACCCTGTTGAAGCGAATAAAATGGAATTTCGCAGAAGAACCGCTGAAAAGGGGAGATGTAGTCTGAATTTTGAAAGATCGGACGCCGCGAGGAATATGGCCTTTGAGACGAGTCACAGCAGAACATCCTGGACGAGATTGGACTACTCGAGTCGTGACCGTCAGAACGGCGTACGGAACCTTTGACCGCCCGGCTAGAGCACTCGCACGCGTTTTTTCGTTCGACTCGGACAATACCTCGATTTGAGCTCAACTCGGTTCCGGGAGCATGTTGCTGAAGCAACTTTCCCGCACTATGATAAATCATGGAATAAGTCAAAAATTGATTCTGAAAGTCACTGCAATTTGTAACATACCATTGAAAAGTTTGAATTAAACCTTTGTGAATCTTGTTGATAAGAAAGTTTATCATTACAGCTGTCAATAAGAAAATTTCTGTACAAGAGATGTCTAGTCACCTTTTCCTTCATCTGAAAATAACAATTTACGACTTAATAAAAATTGTGAAGAGATCGCTTTATACTATATTTCAGGCGGTAGGTGAAACAAAAGTTTACAGTGGTGAAAAAAAACAAAGAAATGTGCATCATGAAAACTTTTTTTGAGAAAAGGTGAAGAAAAAACGTTATAATATTGGATGAATTTAAAACGGCTCAGTAAATTTTGTATAACTTCATTTTAGCCAATGCCTATGGGAAGATGAGGATAATAACTCAAAAAATCGACATGAGTAGTTAACCACATACACATTACAAACAATTGGGAGCCTATTTGCACAATTTTAGACTAAATTAGGTTGCAATTCTAGTTCCGTCTTTTTCTCCGAGCTCGGGATGAATTGTTCGCGTCAAAAAACTTTTTGACGTTTTAATTAGCCATTTATGAACTAAATTTTATACCATCTGTAAACTTATCAGTTACGTGATATTAACGCGAAGGCTGCTGCTCAAGACAATGAAATTTTTCTGGATAATTTGGACCATGAATGAGCGAAAAACAATTTCGTGCTGTGAACGCGTGAGCCGCTTACTATTTGGCTCATAAATCGTTCCAAATTGAATTGATATTTAAGATATCTAGTGTTATTTCTACTTAACTAGACGTTTAAGACATATGGCTGATTTTTTTTTCAATAACGAGTGAGGGGAATTTAAAAAAACCATACTTTTTTCTTTTATTTCAACTTTTTTAAGTAATGCTGCTTCAGAGCCATTTTAAAGAAATTAAAAGGCAGTAAAAACACTCAGGGCTTCGTCCTGCTATGAGCAGTCTTGTTTAATTATGATTATTCTCCCAGCCATTTGTTTCGCCGCACACAGTTTTTTGTTGACGGAAGAAGGGCTCCTCGAATCTTGTATTCGAATCAATTTTCGACAGTACTGTTCCAAAAGTTATAGCAATTCACGTCTCGTTTCAGTTTTGGCATCAAAATATTTGAGATCACGATCTAAAAAAAATCTGCACAAAACTGCTTGTTAAAACTTGATCTTTCATAGAGAAACCACGCTGGTTTTAATTTCTCGTACGAAACTGTAGTACTATTGATAGGTTGTTTTAGGAATGAAACATTTTATCTTTTTTTCAAAATTTTGTTACGAAACAGTTTGTTACGAAACAGTCTTGAATCCAATTTTTTTTGTTTCAGGTAAATCAAAATTGGCTGGTATCAATAATAATTACTCCAAATGGTCGAAGGTACGATTGCTCAAGGACTGTTGGCGACTTCAATTTGTGCTTAGTGAAGACGGTTGTAGAATTTTATAGTTTGAAAAAATATAGTTTATAAAGTTCTTGAACAAGTTGACCGTAAAAAAATATACATATTTAGATTTTTTCTTAACCATTTGAAACAATATGCGAACAAAAAGGGTTCTTGAAAATTCTGACAACAAAAAACTAAAAACATTAGCGAAACGTTGATGTTTTTTTTGAAATGCCTGCTAGCAATATTTTAAGTATATCAAAAGAAACAAAAAACTACCTCATCTACATAAAAGCAAAAACTTTGCAAAATATGAAAAAAAAGTGCTCTAAGTACTACAGAGCTGATTCAAGTTATCCGGCCAAAAAGAAAAAATGTGTTATACTCAAAATGGAAAAAGATTAGAAAAACGTGAACAGAACAAAAAATGGTTAAAAATTTACCAAAATTTTTATGGTGGAATTTATTTTGCAAAAACAAGAACCAAAATTTTACCTCAAAATGGCTCATTTTGGCTTTTTAGAAAAATTTTGTGCTTGACAGTAAAGTATACTAGAAAAATTCTCTTACACAGCCCAACAAAGTTTCAGAGGGGTGTAATCTGAAAAAAGGTGCGCAAAAATTGTTTACAAGCAAATATTTTGAGTTTTGTATGATAAAATTGACTATCTTGACTATGAAGCAAAAATATTTTCCCTTATACCGATTTTTGGACAATTTTTCTCTCGTTCTAAAACTTTATTTGGCGGTGTAAGAGGCTTATTTTAGTATAATTTTCTTATTAAGCAATATGGTTGTTTGGATTAACTAAAAAAGCCAAAATGACTCATTTTGGGTAAAATTTTGATTTTGAATTTCACAAAACATACGCCATAATAGTTCTAGTAAAAATCTAAGCATCTTTTGTTCTCTTCAATTTTTGTCTAATCCTAACTCAGATTGAGAAAAACGCGCATAAAGTTTCCAAACTTGTTGTTCCGACGTTACAAAAGTAACGGAATATTTGTGCTCGTGATGGTTTTTTTTTTCAGGCAAATTTCGCTTTTTAACTAGCCATTTTTGACAAATTTGTAAATATCGGTCGAAAAGTAATATTGTATTGAGCTCAAATTTGAAAAGATATTTCACCGGTGATCATTTTTTTCAAACTTATGGGGTTTAAAGATTGCCATTTTGGCCAATTCGGGACAATTAACGCGCGATATATTTCGCGCTATTGACGCGTAGGCGGAGATTTAATCCGTCTTAGAAATCGTTCCAAATTGGTTGAAAGAAGCGTATTTGCTGCGAAAGGGAGTTCGATTTGTTACAAGGAGCCAAATCTCTCCTTTTGTACCTTATATGGCGTGCCGGGTGATACATTTCACTAAAAAAAATCCCAAATTTGAACATAAAAATTTCATTTTCATTTATTACATGTAATTTTTTCATGTTATTACTGCACCATAGACCTTAAGAGGCAGTCGGAACATTCAGGGCCTCGCCCTGATACGAGCAGTCTTGTTTGTTTTGTCTGGATAATTTTTATCAACACTGTATTTCAAGCAACGAGTTTGTTAATATGCCCCACAATCAATCCTGACAGACTATCATAACTTGCTTTCGCAACTCGATCAGAAATTTGGACAGCTGCGCTTTTTATGAGCAGAACTTTGAATGTATTTTGCGCATTTAATTGCCAAGCTTTTCAGTTTACGACTAAAGTCGTAGTCTGAGAACGAATTTTTCTGCAGACGGTCTGAAGACATTAAAAGTTCAAAAAAATCCCGTTTTAATATTTATAATTTGTATATCAAATAAAGATATAAACTAAACTTCGGTTACACGAAATGATTGCGAGGTAGCTTCAATGTCGCACAATGACGATATCTTTTGCTGGTGGTTGCCTGGTGTTGCCGTCATCACGTGGTCATTCAGCGCCGGAAGCGAGTCGTGAAAACTCAAACACTTCACGTTGTTTTTCTGACTCGAGCAAGGGACGTTTCTCCGATGTGACCCAGAAGCCGCCGAGGAACAAAAGTTCCTGTCGGGAGTCGAACTCGGATGCACAAGTTGAATCCCTGAAACCCGTTTCGATGCACTCTGAGAGGTGTAGTTAGAGCTATGATTGGTGTTTTTTGAGTACAGAGGTTTGCGGCACGAGATTTGCGATGATATGATTATAGAATCAGCGGTTGGCGAAACTGTAAAGCTACTGGTCGTTGGGTGCTTCCAAGCTTTGTCATTTTGGTTGTAGTGCAAAGCGTTCGAATTCAACTTTGATCCTGCGTTTTCTACGTTTCTGAGATTGTTACTAGCAATATCGCAATTATTGTTTTCGATTTCTACCGCAACATGATGATCATGATCGTTTGAACTATGAGAAGTCATCCGGTTGCTTGAAGTGCTTTTGGGATGCTTGGATCCCGAAGGTCCTTGACCTCCGGAGTGATTGGAAACCGATTGCTGATTCAATTTCGAGGAGCTCGCTTCGGATCTTCGGTTTTTTGGTACATCCGCTGGTTTGCTACGGACCCTGGAAAACAATGTTTCAACTATTATTGGAGAAAACTCAACTGATTGCTGTGATAGAATTTCCGGAGGTGGGGGCTTCAAAGGGTTTTGTGTGACGTTCAGGAATGTAGCTAAGGCAGCGGGTCGTAGAATTTGAGACAAATGATCTTGAGTAATTGCCAGCTTCATTTTGAAGTTTTCTCGTTTGCTTCTCGATTGATTGGACCTGTAAGGAACTATACTTGAAGACGCTCCTCGATTATTATATTGAAGCCACGATGATTCGAAGTTATTATGACGGTTTTTGTCGCGTCTTTGAGCCGAAGTGTTTGTAAAGAATTGCTCGGCGCCGAACTCTTTGACGATGTCATTTCGGTTGTTCCGGTTGAATAATTTCTGGCACTTTTGACCCATGAAGTGCAGAACTGGACATCCGAAGACTAGAAAGAGAATGATGCAGACGAGAAACAATCCAATGATGAACTAAAAACAACAAGGTTACTCATATGGTATCATAGCCCAAAAAAATCATTTTTCGTCTTTTTTGCACACTTCTTTGCAATTTTTTCGAGTTTCGTTTTTTCTTGCGCCGAAACCCAAGACTATACTTTGCGAAACTCACAGCCCCCCTGGTGTTTTTTCTTGGAATAAATTGCCTTTTTAGTGAATTTTGGAAGATTTTTTCCTATAAAACCACGTTTTTTGGCACGCGTCCTCCCCTTAATTGAATGAGCATATTTTGCAAGCCCAGCCCAGCGGCGCCTCCAAAAAAATTTTGGGGTTGGTGAGCCAGAAGTGGCTGTCGTAGAAAAGAGAAACAAACGGGGATCCGTTCGAAAAAATAGGCCTCAAATAGGGAGGATGGACGCCTCAAAACCGAAGAGAGAATGAGGGAGGGTGGTGGTGGTGGGGGGGGGGGGGGGGGGTGGGTGGTAAGGTTGTCGATATCCTGGCACGCTACAGATTTTTGAGCCCGGGGTTTTTACTTGGTGACTTACCAAATTGGACATGACGACTATTCTTTATCTGCAGCGGCTATCACAATTGAATGAAGGTTAGACTGGGGATTTTCAAGCCAATAGCTTTTGTGATAACACAACAAAAGAAGGGCAAAAAACTAAGACATAACGTGAAAAGAGAAGAGGAAGCCCGATCTAAATTTAATGGTTTTCACAATTTCGCTGTAATTAAATTTTATTCAGGAAAAGAAAACCGGTAAGTCGCTTAGGGACTGAAAACTGAATAATCCTGCGAAATCATTTTCGCAATTAGTTGCTTTGCTGATGCGTAGAAAGGTTAAGAAGGCCTAATCATGTAGTTTTTGTTAAAATTTCACAAATGTGGAATTTGAAACAGGACCACATAGGCGAAACAAAATGTCAAATTAGGAAAAATGTTATAATGCTTATAACTACGGGTTGTTATTAGTACGGCCCGGACAACAAGGCTTCTTCCTGTAAAAGGTAAACAGTGTGAACTAAATTTGATTCAAATTTGGCGCAAGTCTGTCGCGTATTTTTTCAAACCCGGGTGGTGTTTCTAGTTACTAGGTAAATTTTGAATTTTAGGGTACAGGACAGTGGTCGTTGCATACATGAAAGTATCCGCGTATTTACAACGGCAAGTTTCCCCTATTGCAATCCAACGCCGTTATACATTTTATTTCATCCGCGTTTCTCTGTATGCAGAACGTGTGTTTATCCGTTTTTTAGCTGAAGGATTGATAAATACAGAATGGTACAATTCTACGCGAACAAGCCTTGATTATGGGGATAAAAATACTGCAGGCAAGGGCAGATAAAACGAGTGGAAAAATGAATGATTTCAAAGGAGAAACAACAGCATAAAAAACTCAAATCATTTCAAAATTTGAGACGACAAAAATGACATTTTTTCATTATTTTTCAAGTGTACTTCATCCGCTATTTACTTGCAAACTAAAATTTACCATAAAAAGAAATTATTTTTTGTCAGCGTTTTTTAACAGCAAAATTATCAATCGAGCGGAATTACCTTAATTCTAAATGACAGCTTTATTCAAGTAGTTCTGAAGAAACAAGAATACTACTTTTGTCTCAAATTTAGTAATCTACTTTTAAATCTGGCTCCAACCATTTTAAATATCTGAGCTGGCATTTTATGGTATAAACTGGCATGTTCTGCTAGTTATCCCACTAGGACTGTGGAATTTATTGGCCGGAAACGAAACGAGACTCAAAGTCTAGATAACAGAAATTGTTTTCGCAACGGATAATTTCCGGAGACGGATCAATGATTTCTACTATGCCAAATTGAACTCTTTTTTTTGCAAACTTAATTTTGGAAAGTAAGGAGTAATCTATTTTTTTGAATCATATCAAAAGTTAAAAAAAACTTTTGTTACAATAGTTGATTTTTTTCTTAGTTTTCTCACAAAAGTTTGCGAGCTAGCTGTTTGTCAAAGTTTTGAAATGCGTTCGATTTTTTTTCCTGTGGAAAACGGTTTAGTCCAGTAAGAAATTAAGTTTTAGTTAAAAGCATCAATTTTTTCCGATGGTCTGTTTCCATTTCAGTCAAATTCAATTCTTTTTCAGACAGTTCAAGATGTAGCTGAAAATAACTGACAAGTTCAAATTTAATAAACTATAAAAATTAATATTAAAGTGAGCCGCCATTCCGAACAAAATCAAAAAATTAAATAGAAAAATTAGCATGAGTTACAAGACTCCCAATATTACCCTAGTTGCGAATTCTTACAGGTTCCGACTGGCTTTTTGACATGCAGTGGTCGCAATTAGTTCTTGAGTTTTTGGATCTAAAACTCCAAATTCGATGTCTTTCATCGTCCAATCTAAAAAAAAATAAGGTGCCAATCATACGGGATTAAAAGAGGGTGCTGACCAATATTAACTGACCAATGTATTTGACCAATCAATCATATTTTCGAAGTGTAAAAAATTGAAAACTGAAAAAGTTAGCAACTGATTACAGTTTTTGACGCAACAGTCTCGATGTCAGCTTGACCAAAATTGAGAGCATTTTTGTTGTTGTTGTTTAGCGCTATGGGAAAAACAAAAATCGTTGACCCGAGCCACGATTTCCAGTATTTTTTTTCAAAAAGTTGTCCGAGGAACCCTTAGAAACGACGAATTTTGAGAATACAAAGTTTTTATGTTAAAATCCAGCTTTTCTTAATGAGCTGCAAAAGCCTCATTCAGGCTAATTTTTCAAAGTTTTGGCTGAACAGGAAACGGCGAAATGTCAACTTCAACAACCGTTTTAAATTTACCATTGTTTTTTTCAGTTTATTAGTTAGTTTAGTATTAGAAATGAGGATAAAAATTTCCAGAAAGCTATCATTCCAGATTAAAACTTCTGTGCATTAAAAAGCAGTATCATTGTTACTTGAAATTTTGGAGAATAAAACAAACACTGGTCATAAAAAACAAACAGAGCAAAATAAACTTACCAGTTTGACATTCTTTTTGTAGATTTTTTGATGTCTTAGGAAAAAATTCCTATCTTAGAATTTTCTTGTAAGAAAAGTTCTAATATAGGATATTTCACATTTAAGTTTTCCTTCCTAGTTTGAATGAGTCAAACTTTTTGAAAGAGGTATAATTTTTTGCAGCAGTTGCGACATTTTAAATCTATTTGTGTTTTATTTTGAGAGCTGTTTTGTAGTAAAAGTTTTGATCTTAAAGTTTTGTCTATAAGAAGATTTGCAAGACTTGTGGAAAAAATTATTCGAAGCCCTTAAAAGAAACAGTGAAAAGAAAATTGTAAGATTAAGGATTTTTCTACAAATTTTGTAAGAAGTTCTTATATAGGGTAATGTTTTGTAGGATGGCCAACCAGGGTTTTTATATTTCTCTCTGAAATGATGTGTTAAATTGTCAATTTTATTCTTTCATTTCTTCTTCCAAATCATACTAATATATAATTTACATAATATATTCATAATATGCAAATTATACCCAAATTATATATTATAAAAGTTCTAAGATAAATTAATGTTTTGTAGGATGGTCAACCCCGGGTTTTTTGTTTGATTTCTCTTTGAAATGATATGATATATTGTCTACGTTCTTCTTTGCTGCCAAAATATACTAATTAAGTTTCAAGAAAACCTTACAAAAATAAAAACACTACAAAGTAGAAAAAAAATTCGTACTCAATTTAAAGTTACGCATTTTGATTATTAGTTTGCAAATCCTTCGGGAAAAATCTTCGTGAGAAAAATTCTCGTTGTAATTATTTTTAAAATTTCCAATCACTGCCTTTACTTTTCTTCTACAGTTTTTAATGAACTTTTAATAACATTTTTCAGAGGAGAGAACTCAATAATTTTGATAAATATGACGCACTTCTTATATTGACGCACTGTTCGATGTTTTTCAAAAGGTCAACCTTATTGACTAGGGCTGATAATAAAAGTGGGAATGTGAGGATTGGATGAAGAATCCAATCTACTGAATAGCAACAATCTACGTCATATTTTATGTATATAATCCATCAATTACTTTGCTATAAACAACAGGGAAGCCACGAAACAACTGCTAAAAATGACTAAAACTGAAACTAATTAGATTGCAGCAACACATTTTCATAATGCGTCATGGGGTATTTGAAAAAAAAACAAATTCCTTTTTTTTCAATTTCAACTCGATACTTGAAGGACAAAATAACGCATAGTTATGGATTAAAAACTGTTAAGTAAAAGACTTAAAAACAGTCCCATACAAAACAGTCCAATACAAAAGAATCCGGTAAAGTATGAAAATGAACAAAAAAACAGTCCGATACAAAACAGTCCGAAAAACAGTCCCAATTAATAATTGTTTTAACAAGCCGGCAGGCCAAGAATTGTCCTTTTTGTCAACAAGCATAATGAACAAAATAGTGACCGCCGCAGTCACCTCAACGTGTTGCGAGCTTGCCAACAGAGGGTAGGACTTAATACAAATATTAGAGCCGTTTATTTCCGCAAAGCGACGACGCGCGTGCAGCGCGCCCACCGGCGACCTTAAACCGGACTGTTTTGTATTGGACTGGTTTTTTCCTCCATTACATGATTTTTGGGACTATTTTGTATTGGACTGTTTTGTATGGAACTGTTTTGTATATGCACCTTTTAGGATTGTGTATTGATTTTGTCGGGTTCAGCTTTGTCACGTTTGCTAAAAAAATGAATGATAACACTTGTGTAAGAAGTGTTCACAAGAAATTATTCAAAATTAAAGGAAAAAGATGAATATAGCTTAATTGAAGTAGCGAAGTTCCAGCCAGAAAAAGTTTGCAAAGACGTACTCAAAAGTTGTATTCATTTTCAGATTTTAAAATAAATTTTTGTCGTGTTTTGTACGCGTGTAGGGCCAAAACTACTAATGGCTTTATCGACATAAAATAATAAAACTTTTTTTTCAACCATTGGCTTAAAATGACAAAACAACGAGAGTCATTACCTAGCCAAACTGTGCATGGGATAGACACACAATTTAGCGTTTTAGGACACTGGAACCCAGAGAAAAGTTTTCAATGGAATTCAAAATTGTTAGTTGAAATTTTAAAGTAAATTTGCCAGCACATTGGTTTTTTCGTGAAATCGGCACATTGAATATACCTAGTTATTTCGGACTACGCAAATGTAAGCAGATTTAACAGACTGTAGCTGATTTCGCAAATGCGATTGGACACCGCATTTTCCAACTTCACTTGGCAGTTTCCGCTTCATCTTTACAGATTCCGCTCTCAATTTTTGAATTCGGCTAATAGTGTCAGATTCTGCGACAGTGTAATTTTATCATTCACATTTATTATATTTTTTTTTTGTAGATTTCTCGCTAATTCAGCCTGTTTTTGGAGCAATTTCAAGCAGGAAATTGCTTAAGCAGGTATTAGCTATTTGTCCGTGGCATCCAATACAACAAGATTAGCAAAAATTTGTTTTCGGTGCTCTTAAAGACCGCTTAAAATTTACAAAGTACACAATTTCACCTTGTATTGGTCAAGAAAGCAAACTTTTGGAACCAGTTTTCAGTGTTAGCAAAAAACGCTTTAATGTAATGAATTTCATTGGACGTTCAATTGTAGTAATATCAGGCAAAACATCAAATCTGAAATTAGTCGGACAATCCTTGAAAACAAAAAAAATTTGAAATAAAAATTTTTCAAAAATTATTTCGTTAAAAAAAACGATTCATAAACGATCAGAAGATTAAAATTTATTCAAAAATGAAACTTAATTCAGTTATCTTAAAGGAAAAACTAATCAGTTGAAAATTTTTTTTGAATTTTTTTTTTTCAAAAAGAATCTCTTTTAACATTTTTCGTAATTTCTTAGTTTTGGTTCATGTTTTTCAATGCTTGTAGCGATTCTCTTCTTTATTTTCAACTAAACCAGTACACTCATTAAACACATACTAATGTTTTTTTTTCGCGAAGGAAAACTGGTTTGAACTTTTGCTTTCTGAGCAAACTAGGGCGAAGAGTGGAGAATCAGTTTTCTTGTTCTGTCATTTTAAGCTAGTAAAAATATATGTTACGTTTTTTATGTATATAAAACCCTTAACGTTTCCCCACCCCCTTTCATCAATTTTTTAAATAAGCTATAAAATTAAAATAACAATAGCTAAATTAGTGATCAGACAAACTTGAAAATTGCAAATTGATCTTCCAAGTCGAACTCAGAGAGGAAATCAGTACTTTTCCGATGCTATTAAAGTAAATTTTTATTACTATGTAAGAGGCACTTAGCATTATGGTAGAACATTTGCATCGAGAGCATCAGATCGTGTAATTGATCCCCTGCCATGGCAATGACTAGGTGTGAGCACAAGCTCTCACTTGACATATAGCTTCAGCAATACCATAGCCTGACCGAGGTCAGAAAAAAATCTTCGCTCAAAAAAGGTCAGCCTGGAAAGTGGAGGACGAAAAGAAACGGAATACGATTAAAAACGCTGGATTGCTTTTCACAGATACTCTGCGAACGGAAGAAATCACAACTCTTATTTTTTGACAGTGCAATTTGAGCTGATCAAAGTTTAAATCAAAAATTTAAAACACTGCTTGAGAATTGTAATTACACGTCTTTAGCATTTGTTTTTATGAACATCTGATTTTTATTGCCTTAAGAAGTAGCGTTTTTTGAAAAAAAATCCAACATTTTGCAAAATTAAGACATTGTTACAAGATACAAAATACACACATGAATAACTGTGGAATTACTTCTACATCGGGGTGATGATTCGCTACTAGGTACCATATAAGAGAATACTATAAAAAATCCCGACAGAAACTATAAAACTCAAAAAGAAGTCATCTCGATCTCACTCGTCCTCCTTTTAACGTTCATTTTTAACAAAAAACATCAATTCAAAAAAATTGTCATAAAAGAAAGTATCCCCTCTTTCACTCTCGTTTTTTTTTTCATTTTGACAATAACTTTACGTCAAAAACATTTAAGTAAAGAAAACGTCAGCCTGGCCTCAATACACTGTTATGCTAACAGTTATCATTTGCTGGTCGAAAATGTTTCAGTATATTATTTTGGTGCCAGCCATGTTGCTAAAACTAGCAATTTTCATTAAAAAAAGGATGTTTTCTTGAGAGAATTTTTGTGGTATTCTCCCCTGTAGATAGCAAATTGCCACCACTATATGCTGACAATTTTAACAGAAAATTAATTAAAGGTACAAATTCAAAAAAAAACAAATTGTTCAACACAACGAATTTATTTAATAAACAGTAAAGCCGCCATTGCCTATTTATCGAGTTGGCGAGCTTCCAACCAAATTAGCAAAATTTACTCAAAAATTGAATTCACCTTCCTTTTTTCTATTCCTGCCGTGTTTTGTACGCGTACAGGGGAAAACGACTAATGCCGTTATCAACATAAAATAAAACGTATGTTTCATTCATTAGCTTAAATAGACAAAACAACGAAAGACTTACCTAGCCAAACTGTGCATGGGATAGGCGCACAAATCAATGTTCTAGGACACTGAAGCCCAGAAACTTTCAAATTTGATGAAAACTGTTAGTGAGTTTCAAAGTGCAAGTTGAAAATGTAAAATAAACTTTTTCGGCCAATTAGTTTTTTCCATGGTTCCAGACCGCGAATATAGCTAGTTGTTCCAAAATAATTGTTGAATTGCTTCTACTATACAAAAAATGCCGCAAGAAAAAATAAAATGGAAGATAACGCCATCTCATTCCTCACTCGTCTATCCTTGAACGGTTGTTTTTATCAAAACAAAAATTATTCCAAAAAGGTCATAAAAAAGTTAGCACCTATATTAGCCTTGTTTTTTTAGTTTGTCAATAAATTTGCTTCAAAAAACGTTAAAACGCTTTACTTTTTTCCTGCTGGATTTCCTAGAGTGTTCCCTCATATAGCACCTAGAACCGAATCGCCACCCCTATTTAGAAGTAATTCAAACATTACCGCTTAAAGTTAGTATTAAAGCAGGTTACGTAGCAGCAAATAGGTAGTCGCATAAGTAGACAGGTCAGTAGGCAGGAAAAGTTTTTTATAGTGCAATTTTGCAAAAGAAAACGATCAAGTTAAATCCCAGAGAAATCAAAACAATTTTGTTTTATAACATTATCCCGAACATCAACTACAATTAAGCAGTTTGTTTAGAAAAAAATAATACGTTAAAATCACACCTGATAACCTTTTTCTGCCAATCAGGTTGGAGTATTACTATGCTTGTCTACTTACTGACATTCCTGTTTCACGGTTGTCTACTTATAATGGCTGCAGACCAATTGATTAGGCAGAAGGATAACAGTAATTAGCTATTTGGGATCCGGTATGAGGCAAAAAGGACGACAGCTGTTAAGACGACAACCACTTTTGACGGGACTTAAAGTCGACGATACACAGAAACCTTGAACTGTGTATCTGAGATTTATGAACAAATTAATATCGAACTAATTATTTTGAAGGATCTAATGCGCATCTGCCGGCATAATGTCATGTCGTCTTAATGTATTTTCGGCTTGATATACTTTCATTGTCTACCTAGTGCCGATTATTTTTCATAAGATTGAGAGATCTAGTTTCGGAAAACGTTTTTAGCCAAACAGATTTTAGTATTCAAAGAAATTGTAAAAAGCTCAAAGTGAGCAAACGAACTCAGACAAAAACCAACCGTAACTGATTAAAAAATAAGCAGATAAATGAAATTTTCAATAGAAGGAGATCGTAGACGCAATAGAAAAATCTAATCTTTCAAAAACATTGATTTAAAATTGTTAAACACAAAACTAGCCCTTCTCAAATTACGGAAACCACTATAGGTTATAATAATTTTTTTAAATAATGATTTTGGCTTTGTGCAAAACTAGTTTAGCTAATAGAAAACTGCAACAGTTCTGATTGGCTGAAAATTTTCTATCATTTGGTCCCTCCAGCATGAGAAGTCCTCCCATCAACTGTTACTGCCTCAGTATTCGAAAAAAAAGCAATTCTCAATTACGGCAAACTACCTTACTTAGTCTTCGTTCAAGTACTTGTATTTCAAAACCTTTCTGGTAAACTTATCAAAAGTTGAATTGCACTGGCAGACCAACCCGGACTGTTTTAAATTAGTAGTCTGAAAAAGAAAAGTTCAATTCATTTTTTATCTCCTCACGGACAGTCTTCTCAAAATATGTGTTTTCACGGAAAAGAAGGACGCAATAGGATATCACACATGAAAGTTATGATTTTAATTTGAGCTACTTACATACTTGCACAACAAAATTTACTCAACGCCTTAGTTCCTTCGCACTCTTGAGAACGACCAAAGAGTTGTATCAAAATTGATTTTAAAGTTTCTATAGAAATCATCGCAAACATTAAGTCTCCTACCAATTTAAAAAACAACAATTTGTAAGCAAAGGCTGAATTTATTAATAGGATCTACTTAACAATACCCCTCGATTAAGAGAGGAGCCTTGTTAAGAAGAATAAAACTGCCAAAATTTCGACCAATCACAATACAGAAAAATTTGAGTACTCACTAGAAAACGTTAGGGCTAATTTTCGGTTTTTTATAGGGGCGGAGGTTGTTAAGTAGATACTAGTCGGGCAACTGAATGTTTGAACTTCAAACGCTCGTAACGAGAAAAAACCTTCGTTAGGTTTTCGCGAAGTTTCCGTCATGTTTGACCAGCGCGTTCTTGAGTTGCTTGCACTAAGTATCCAAGACTCACTACTTTGGCGAGAAAGATTCTGCCTAACTTTCTCAAGTGCGCCCCTTGAGTGTTTTTTTCAGCACTGCTGGAAAGGTTGTTACCAAGAAAAGTATTCTAATATTTTGCGTGGAAGTTAAGAATTTTTCAATTAAATATTGATTTTCAATGTTGTCTCTCAAGAATACTGAAAAAACAAATAAAATACCGAATGTTCGAACGTTCGAAGAATGTTCAAAATTTTTTAGCGAACATTCGAAAATTGTTTTTGAACGAATGTTGCTTCACTAGTAGATGCCATAGAGGGGGTGAGGTTGTCAAGTAGATCCAATTAATATATAGCAAAAAATTTTGTGACGTGAGAAAGTGAAATAAAAACGTGTATTTACGCTACTTTTCTTAGTCCGACAAATCTTTATGTAAACCTATTCAGAGAGGGAGTGCTCGGAACATTCGGAGCTGGTTCATGATACCATTTGTCTTTTTGATAATTCTGGGATTTGTTGTTAAACACATAGAAGATTAAAAAATTGTAAAAGCTTGGTAACGCAAAACAAAGTACAATTTTTATAATAATTTTTGTTCAAATAATTTTGCATAGGCTTTGAGATTATTTGGATCAATTTATTGCTCAAAATAACGCAGATTATTATAAAGCTTTATTCCTAGGGTAAATTTTGTCTGAAGTAAAAGCAATGCACTGATTATCTCAGTTAAGCTACATTTTTAGCCCAAATACTCGTTCTGGGAGAATAATTGAGGGAGATAATATGGCATAAGGGTTCTGTTAAGTTTGCCCGAGCGGTTCTTTTGATTATGGAAACGGGCTTTTGAAAGGATTTGGAAGGAGTGAAATGTTGTTAGTTCAGACTTTACTGAACGAATTTTGGGTTTTAAAAAGAAAGAATACCCCAGTTGGTAGAAAATTTATTCCATCTGCCAGGCACAGTTTTGATCAAACTTATTTTCCTTTTCTTTATAATCACTGTATTTTGGGATAATTGCCCTTTGAAGAGAAAAATTTAGCCCTAACTAATTTGAATTGGAATTGAGAAAAACCCTTTTAAGCGGAAAAAGTGACAAGAAAAACGAGCCCTGAAATTGGTTTTGTTATCTGATAAACTGGCTGAGCCCAGAAGGCTGTTATTAGATCAAAATAGTGGGCCTCTTTAAACCAAACTGAATGCAAACGCAAATATGGTTGCTTTAAGGGATTTGATATGGGCGTACTACCAATAGTTTTTAATCAAGCGAAATCGCAGGAGAATTGGCTCAGAAATGCGTGAATTATTACTGTTGAAACAAATTTATTTCAACAACTCGTTTTCTGGAGGCTGCGTTTTTGCCAAACAACCTTAGGATTTTGAAAATATAATCTAATAATTTAAAAAAATTTATGTGCAAGTTTCGCCGTACAGGGGAAAAGAACTGACTCGGGTAATATTTAAAATGATTCGGGTTTGGCTACTGGCACGGATTTAAAAAAAAACTCAAAAAAGATTTATAAAATGAAACTTTTAAAAATTACCAAAAAACCCAATCTTTGAAGAACGCCAAAAAGGCCAGTTAGCTGGCAATCGATCGGTGTTTTCATGAGCAAACAATTTACACAAGATCACCAGCGGATTTAAGGGAAGGGGGAGGGTGGGGGCGGACGCTTCTTTCTCTCAGGGATTCGACCCCCTGTCGGCCCAAAGGGCCCCGCTTTAGTTTGAGATAAACATTTGTGGCTGACTGATCCTAATTTTTTTAAAAGCGCCTGTGGCGCCAATATACACTAATTTTGAAAGGGAGCGTGCGCCGAAAAACGCATTTTTTAGTCAAAATTTTCGAAAAAGTGACCAACAAGCAAGTCTTAATAGCCTTTATAGTGAATCCGCTTTTTTGAACGTTAGGAGAACAAACTGTGCATTCCAGAAACAAGTCTTTAAACGTTAAAATTTTGTCGGAACGATCAAAGAGAACGAAATAACAAAAGAAGAACAACAGGAGCTTCCTTGTTGCGGAATCCGCTTAGAATTCCAAAAATACACAGTTTGGCCTAGTAATTAGCTGTTTATTTTTCTAATGTTTGGTCTAAATAGGCTCGTTTTAGCAATTTGGGAGAGCTCAGAAAAATGTCCGAATTTTTTTTTGAAAATCAGCCCCCCTCCTCTCTGGCCCCCCTGCACTAGTTATAAAACGGAATGCGATGAAAGTCTCGCCTCGCTCTTTCTATGCATTTTTCACCCAATTCACAAAGCTTTCCATAACGACTTCAGCATCATTATGTTTGATCCGACTCAAATTTGTTCCTGTTTGATCCGACTTTAAATTTGTCTCGGGCATCAATGTAAAAATTTTTTTCAGACACTTCCATGGATGTGAAGCCACCAATAGTTTTGGCTTAGATGTTTATGACAAAGAAAACTCAAAATTGGTGAGAATAACAAAATTGGCTTCCCAGGCTTTTCGCGCCCGATGAAGCTGCCTCATTAAATGAGTTCTCAAAAAAAGATTGAAAAATTGTTCTGTTAACTACCGCACTAGATCCCAATCTAATTAAATGTTAAAAAACATTGCGTTATATTTATCACATTTTTTTGTTTTGTTGCCTTGACGCTGACCAGCCCCTAGAGGCTTATCAGAATGAATTTTTTATATTTAGAATTTCAAATTTTGGTTCAGACTACAATTTATTTCTATAACAGTGTATCTTCGAAGGAAAGGACACATAACCGAGCTAATTAGTTCTTGACGGATAAACGCTGGTATGTCCCTATGGTCAAATAAAAGTAAAAAAAATTCTGGGCCGGTAACGTTGCCTCAACCTAGCAAGGATTACGGATCATGGTTGGCCTCTAAACTCAGACCTTTCGGTTGCTGCTTTGCGGCGACATAGCACAGTCACAAATGCGTCATAGCCAAAAACGTTTTAGATATCTTTTTTTCCTAGCTTAGATAAAACAATTTTTTTAACACAGGCCAAGCCTTTACTGAAGTTTTTTTTATATATTTCTAGACCTGATTATCCAATTTACATTTCTGATTCTAGGTCAATTGTATGCACTACACGGAATCAGATCTGGTATCACGTGATGAGATCAGATCTCAGTAACACGTAGCGTTTTTAGCTAAAACGGGAAAAAATAAATGCATTCAAACCGCTTATTGTGAGCATGCTAAAGCTAAACCGAATAACTTCAGCTAAGTTCACTCTCAAATTAACAATCGCAAATTTGAAACAAGGATAGCCTTGAAAAACTAAAACAATATTGAAAGAATTTTTATTTTCAAAAATTTTGCTGAAGATTTCTTTTGTTTTTCTTGTTGTTTTTGGTTAATAAAACTAAATTAAAAACTCCGAAACTCGTTTTATTTTCTCAAAATAAAGTTTTAAGGTCTCAAATTAAGCATAAACTAGGCATTTCAGCTGTTGTAAGCCTGCTCGCTTGCTTTATTTGCTCCAATTAAATAAAAAAACTCAATCCGGTTTTTTTCGACCTTAGGAAAAAATTTTGCGAAATTTTCAATGTGGTTTTAATCACGACTGAAAAGGCTTTAATATAATATATCACTCAACAAAAAAAAATAAAGCACACACGAATACAAACTTACAATAATTTTCCCCTTCCCCACATCACATAAGCCCCTCCCCCAGCAGACTACCCCATCCCCCCACACACATCGAATTTTAATGTAAAAAGCCGTTTTACAAGATAAAATGTTAGGAGCAAAAAATTTGGACAAACGTTAAATTAGACGGCAAGAAAAATCTTGTGGAAAAATGGGGCAAGAGGAACAGCTGGAGAAAGAGAAAGTGAAAATAGGTGGGGTAAAACTATTTGGGAGAAAAAGTACGGAGAAAAAGAAAAAAGCCTGTCATCTTTTGAAAAATAGATCCCATCGCATCCCCTTTCATTTTTTTCTTTAAACCATTTTTTTGTAGTTTCTTTTCAGGGCAGATTTGGGGGTACGCCCTTTTTAGGGATTTGAACCCTTCACCGACCAAAGGATCCCTTCTGGTATTATTTTATGACATCCATTTTCGACCGACCAACCCAACGGCATTTTTTGTTCTTTTGTTTCACATAATATCAGTTTAATCTGTTTTAGAAAAGTAAATCTAAAATGGGAATATATTGTATGTTCTCAGCCCAACTACTGTGTCTCAGCCCACGAACGAACGTGCGATATTATGAATATGATAATTACAATAAAACTGCTCTATGATTATGAGAGCAAAGCTTTCATATTGAAACCTTTATCGTTATTATCTTTATTTTTTTTTACAATATCTGACCACACCAAAAACAACTATCTTTTATTAGCAATTTGACCTGAAAACCACTGAGATTTAAGTCTGCTGGATATATGAGGCCATCTTAGGGCACTGCGTCCATTGTGGTGTTTGATTACTTCATTTTCAATTTTATTGATCTACTTTAGGTTTGATTAAATTTTTGGAGCATTGATCATTGATCATGCATAGGTTTTCTCGTTGCGGTCCTGTATGTGGCCAGCAAATAAGCTGGTGTAGGTAACTGTACATTAAAAACACAAATATCTGGGATTAATTTGCTACTTGATCTTTCCTACAGTTTTGCGAGCAAAAATCTGACAGAATTTGCATTTCTAGTTTTAGTTTCAAGGTAAGTGGTAAGGTTTTTTGTCATTGATATATATCTGACTTGAGTACTCATGTCCTACAATTATTCATTTATATCTAACTATTTTAGCAGATTTGTTCCAGCTTAAACTTTTGTTTCGGCGGTTTTGTGCGGAAAATTATGTTGAAAAAATTATATAGAGGAAAATATCACGCCATCAATGCTTGTTATGATCCCTATTATTGACAAACCTTTTCCAGAGAAGATGATAACGGTTGTCAAAATTATCATAAAAAAAACCTGTCGAAAATTCTGATTAAAGTAGATGTCGGGAAACTCAATGTATTGCTTTAGAATCTTTGCGAGGCAAAACAGCTGGGCTCGAACAAAGTGTCAGACAACGTCAAAGTCATTGAATTGCCTGAGCAGAAGAAAAGACTTCGCAACCAAAATTCTTGCAATTTCCACACCATCCCCCCACACTCACACTCCACCACCAACTTCCTCCACAACCCTTCCTCAACCCCCCCCCCCCCACACACACACACACATACACACAACACATACCTTTTCACAACCCTCGCACTGCCTTCCTCGCCCCGCTTACGTTGATTCCTCCGCCAGCCTACCAATCTTCCCAAGATTTGACCCCCACCGCCCAGATGGGGGAAGGTGGTAAACGTTCGGTAGGGGGTAAACTGGGAGGGGGCATAAAAATGGTTGGGAGATATTTCCATAACTAGTTCCCCTCCCACAGGGGCAGAGGAAAGGGATTGATCCCAAACAAGGCCAACCTTCAACGTGTAATAGGTTAAAAAAAATCCAATGTGTGGAAGCAATGCTCTTTGCTGGAAAATTTTAGGCAAATTTTAGAAATAAATTTAAAATCCGTTACAATCGCTTATAATTGATTCAGATGAGTTTCATTGATGTGCCGAAAAAGTAATTCATAGTCCTCTCTTAATCAATTAAAATATATATTAAAAACTGACTATCAAATTTAAGAAGACCAAGTTTTTAAACTCTTGTGTTTTCCAAATATCATGAAAATTTATTTAATTCAGAATATGATCATAGGTTTGTACACAAAAGAAATCTCAGTCAGTGTAACAGCAATATACAGTCATTTCAGGAAAGGTTGTTTTCCGCAAACTATTAGTTTTGGAGTAACCTTTGAAGCTTCTCAACATCTGTAGCGCAATTTTGTATAGCAAACCGAAAAAAAGTAATTCGATTTTTTATGGTTTTTTTTTCACATCAATTATCAGCTTAAAACTAACCAAAAAAATT